CACAGTCTCTAGACCTCTTTTAAATTTGCTTCCCAGCCTGCCATTTTTCATGTATGGTGTTCTCCTAAGTCAAAATGATACTGCCATGATTCCACATACTTGGTGTGGGGAGTCTAAATTAAAGGAAACTACGAATTGTGCTAAAAGATAATGATCTTGATCATCAAGTTCAAACATTTCAGAGTGTCCTTTCCTCACTGCTCACCCCACCAGTTCCCAGCCTAAACCTATATGAAACGGAGATGAGTTTCAGGAAGCCTTCTAGAGATTATCCAAACTGAGCCAGTTTCTAAAAAGCATATATATACTTTTCGGATTACTTTTCTTTCTCTTTCCAGATGTCTGATAATATTGACTGGTTACACAGCCGCAGGGGCGTGTGCAAGGTTGATCTCTATAGCCCAAAAGGACAGCGAGAACAGGACCGGAAACTAGTAAGATACAAAATTACTTCTACCAAGGAATGGAAAGGATTGGCATATGGATACAGATATCCTGGAACCCAGGATAGACTAATGGAGGGTGCTAGTATCATTTCTCCAAGCGACCAAGCTCAATAAAACCTGTGGTTGTGGGGGACTAGTATGCTTACACATCACACAGGGACAAATCAAGGGAGGGGCAGAATGAAGAGTGATGTAAAAGAGCTGGGGAGGGAAGACTGGGGGCCACCTCAGGGGTGGGAGGAAAGGTCGTTGCCTAGTTTCCAGCCTCTATTACCTAACCTTTGAAGTCATAATAATATCACCTAGCTACCAGTAAGTTGCACTAAAGTGGGACGCCCCCAGGGAGGGCAAAATACTTCATGCTATGTTTCTCAAACTTTGAGCAATTTGCATAGTACTTCACATTTTTTATCAAGTACCACTCATATTATCATATTCTGTAATGTTTTTAAAATTGACTTACATATGAAAATTATCATCACTCTAAACAATATTATTATATCATAGGTTTGATGTTCTAGTATGTATTTTTCCTAATAAACAATAAAAATGCACCTATTAAACACAGAAATATTTATCCAGGTACCACCTAAAGTTTTCTATAGCATCAATAGTAAAATTACCACATTTGAGGAATGCCAGTGTAGTAAAAAAGTGGTCTAAACTAGATGCCAGGGAACCAAGTTCAAATACAAGTTCCACCTTTGAGTTTGTGTCAGTTGGGCAAGCCACCTCTCTTCTGTTTTCTCAATAAATGCAGATATTGTATTTTGGTCCTTTTTGACATGTACGTATTCTCATCTAGGAAATACACCAATGCTAACATACTAATCTAATAACATTTATTGAGTACTTACTATGTTTAGATACTCTGATAAAAGCTTTATACAAACTATCTCAATCGATCCTCACAAGAACCCTATATGGTAGGTGCTATTATCATTTCTCAGAAAGAGAAATTACAGTGTTTTCTCTGGAATTTTTCTAAAATCATCCTCCTAATTTGATGCAGATATGTTTTGTTGATGTGTCCACCCTGAATGTGGAAGATAAAGATTCCAAGGTGGGTATTCTCTGCTCCCCTCAGAGTTTGAATGGGTGGGAAACTGTTGAGAGGGTTATCAGTGAAAACATAATGAAAGGGAAAAGCTGTGGCAGAAAATGGAAAGATGGAGTGGACTAGGTGGGAAGTCATCATTCTTGTGAGCCCAGAGTCCCTGATTGAGAATTTATTGTCACTCTTAATACCAAATCTCATTTTAGAAGCCACTTGGATTGCTGGTAAGGCTGAAAGAACTAAAGCAGAGAAGATAGCATATCATAACAGTGAAAAAACTGTCCAAAATGTAGATATTTAATGAAACATGATTCCTGAAACTAATGACTTTGTGAATACCTCCTGGTGCGGGGGGTGGAGGAGAGGAGTAGTAATTTGTGGAGAGGAAAATATCTCTTTCTTCAAAAACCAGCTAACATTACTAGCCTACTTCACTTCAAAAGGAGAAGAGATAATGAAACATGGCATTTATGCTTTGAAGTGGTAGCAGGGGAGGGGGCAGCTTGGAGAAGTCTCAAAATGCAACTATTCATAAGAATCTCACCCCTTAATTCCATAGGATGCTAGTGGTTCAGGAGGTAACTTAACACTGGAGAATCTGGAAGAAAAAGAAATTATTGTGATCAAGGATACTGAGAAGCAAGACCAGTCAAAGGTATACTTAGCCCCTGAGTCTACCCTTTCTAATTCCCAGAGCCTCATGCTGAGTCTGGGGACTCTGTTTCAGAGATAATAAGAGAACTATTGTCAAACAGGACCATAAATTTGAATACTATGACATTCTAGAGAGCACGGGCCTAAATTCAGAACTACGGTAAGTTTAATGCTTAGGTACCTAACAATGTCATTAATCACTGAGGCTCAGAATGCCCTTTCCTGATTTTAGGTATGTACTCCAAACAGTATCTTGCTATCCTTATCCTAACAAAGATAAGATCCTTTGCAGTGTTTTTGTTGCCTTATAATGGACTGCGTGTACCACATTGCCCAGCGTCTAACAAGAAAGAACAAGGATATGGAGCCTAGAGAATCCACAATGACCAAGAACTGTAGTTGCCTGGTCCCCACTCTGTTGTCTAAGAGATCACCCAGGCTGTCAGGTAGCATAAAATTAAAAGCGATTAGACTTGCACACCACTGTCACACACAGAATCCTTTTGTTTTTGTGTAAATATCCTAAATTATATCTTTTAGGCTCTGGTTTGAGGTGGGCATTAGAGCACATGACAAGTCATCTTCACAGTCCTACACACCTGGAGTGCCTGATGTTGAAGATATTTGGCTATAACACAGGAGTCAAATATTTCTTGTTCTGTGTCCTTGGGCTCATGCTATAACCAGGAACAACAGTCTGGTCCAAAATATCTTAGAATGATGAGAGTAGCACTTACAAAATATTGTTCAAAGAGTTTTAGATTCAGTTGTGGGGGGCAACTTCATTTTGGAGTCTTAAGAAAGGGATAAATTATACCTGTTTTTAAAAGAGCAGCCCATATCTCCTACAAACAATACAGCTATTCATGATTCTAACTTAAGCCCATTTGTAAAAAGTTGATCTTATCATGACTTCACATTTCTAGGAATTCAGTGAAAAGAGGAGATGAAGCAATGGAAGGGGCGAAGAGGGCAATGGTATTCAGCACTGAGTAGAAGATGTGTACAAATACATATACACGTATCCAGACATGGATACACGTAAATTTACATAAAGCGATACACACGCATTCCTGGCTACATGTGATACTGGAAAACACACACAAGCATTCTTATAACTTACATATATATATTGACTTATCCATAAACAATGACTTACATACACATACAAAGGTATTCAGAGTCAAATGCATTGACCTGCCCACATGTGACATACATAAACATCCATATACACATCCATGCACACCATGCATAAACACACATGTTAACACACATGAGCCTTGATCAAAACACAGTGACCATACAGACTCAGGCATAGACATACACATTTATAAATATACCTCATATTGATACATACATATTCAAACTTAAAGTGATACACATTCATTAACACACGTGTTTGTGTGCATTGATACTCACATTGACACAAATACAATGACATTCCTATTCATGTATTTACACACATACTCTAACATTTAGGATGTGTGCAACACTGACATTCTTAAGCATATAAATATAATAAACTGATACCCAATTTATTGACATACATAGACATTATACAATCACCTAAATTATGCTTTAACATATAAAAATACATTTATAGCTGCATGATACATGCTATTGGATTTATATCTGCAGATTGTGTCATATTCAGAAACACATTGACACACACTCATTTTACATTCACACACATGTACAAAATACACACTAACATGTACATGTTGGCCTATACAGTAGACATACAATAGATACTGATGTCAACACATTATTACACATGCTTATGTATAGTCATTCATACATGTGCACTGACATACACATATATTCACACACACAGGTACATTTTCACACCCTAATAATACAAGCTGACATTCTCACATCTACTGAGATGTTTACACTCATGAATTGTTATATTATGCATACACACATAACAGATACATTGACACATTTTTGACACATAATGAGATAAGCGCACATACTCAGGTGAAATTGAAAAACATATTGATAACACTTGCATATAATTAAGTGTTCAAATGTATATACTCTGAGCTTTTGTTGCTACCACTTGTGCTTGAATGTCTATTAATGGATATAATTATGTTATGTGTCCATGCAAATTCTAAAGGTCAAATCCTTAATCTGTGAAGTTTAGAAAGATATATCTTCTAAATAAAATAAAGAAGTAGCCTACCCAAACTCTTAGGTGTTCTTCTTTTTTTAGACGGAGGGCTCTGTGTGCCTTTTCAAACAAGCTCCCTCTGATCCTATAAGTGTTCTAAATTGGCTTCTCAATGATCTCCAGAAGTATGCCTTGGGTTTCCAACATGCACTGAGCCCCTCAGCTTCTAGCTGTAAACATAAAGTAGGAGACGCAGAGGATGAACATCACAAATTACCCTCTGGAAACTGCTACCGCGTCTATGCCGATCAACTGAACATAGATTATATGGCCAAAGGACCTCAAAGCCTACGTCTAGAAATAGCAGCAGACAAAAACACCAACAATAACCAGAGTCCTTCCACCCCTCCGGGAAAATCTCCTAACTCTCAGAGGGCAGTAATCTCTCCTGAGGGAGAATGTTCTATGGATGATCTTTCCTTCTATGTCAACCGACTATCTTCTCTGGTAATCCAGATGGCCCGTAAGGAAATCAAAGAGAAATTAGAAAATGGAGGCAAATGTTTTCATCATTCAATCTATCCACCCACTGGGGACAAAGGGAAAAACAGCCCCCGAAGTGTTGTGAGCAAGATTGCTTCTGAAATGACCCACGACGCATTGGAAATGACCTCTGCAGAAATGCGGGGCACTGGTGAGGAGTGCAGGGAAGGTGGCCAGAAAACATTTCTGTATAGTGAATTATCCAACAAGAACAAGGGGGGAGACAAACAGATGTACCAACGAGACAGCAAAGAATTTGCAGATTCTATCAGCAAAGGACTCATGGTTTATGCAAATCAGGTGGCATCTGACATGATGGTTTCTGTCATGAAGACCTTGAAAGTGCATTCCTCTGGGAAGCCAATTCCTGCCTGTGTGGTCCTGAAGAAGGTGTTGTTAAAACACACCAAGGAAATTGTGTCCGATTTGATTGACTCCTGCATGAAGAACCTGCATAATATCACTGGGGTCCTGATGACTGACTCTGACTTTGTCTCAGCTGTCAAGAGGAATCTGTTCAACCATGGAAAACAAAACGCTGCAGATATCATGGAGGCCATGCTGAAGCGCCTGGTCAGTGCTCTTCTTGGTGAAAAGAAGGAGACTAAATCGCAGAGTCTGTCGTATGCATCCTTGAAAGCCGGATCCCATGACTCTAAGTGCAAGAATCAAAGTCTCGAATTCTCCACCATGAAAGCTGAGATGAAGGGGAAGGACCAGGGCAAAACAAAACCAGATCCGTGCAAGTCATTGACCAGTGCTGAAAAAGTTGGTGAACATATTCTCAAGGAGAGCCTGACTATGTGGAACCAAAAACAAGGAAACCAAGGCAAAATGGCTAGCAAAGCATGCACCAATAAGGAAGAAAAAAGAGAAAATATTAGCCCTTCCACAGATTCATTGGCAAAGGACTTAATTGTCTCTGCCCTTATGCTGATCCAATACCACCTGACCCAGCAGGCCAAGGGCAAAGATACAATTGAAGAAGACTGTCCTGGTTCTACCATGAGCTATATGACTCAGAGTGCCCAATATGAAAAGAGCGGATGTGGCCAAAGTGCCAAGGCGCTTTCAATGAAACACCTAGAATCTCGTGGAGCTCCTGGGCCATCTACCTCTCTAAAGGAGACTCAACAGGTGGACTCCCAGAAGTTGGATATGTCAAACATTGTTCTATCACTGATTCAAAAACTGCTCAGTGAGAGCCCCTTCAACTGTGACGAGCTATCTGAAAGTGAGAACAAGCATTCTGAGCCCAAATCAAACAAAACGACTTCCATGACAAAGAGAGGAGAAGAACAATCTAATGACAGTCAAGAACTTGACTTTCTCAGTGGGATAAAGCAAATGAACCGGCAATTCATCGATCAACTGGTAGAATCTGTGATGAAGTTGTGCCTTATTATGGCTAAATATAGCAACAATGGGGAAGCCCTTGCAGAGTTGGAAGAACAAGCAGCCTTGGCAAATAACCTCAGTTACCAAGCTGGTGGCCCCAGATGTGGTCACGAAGGTGCAATGTCACGTAACTATCAAGATTCTCCTGGGCCAGAAGTCATCGTCAATAATCAGTGCTCAACAAGTAATTTGCAGAAGCAGCTCCAGGCTGTCCTGCAGTGGATTGCAGCCTCCCAGTTTAACGTGCCTATGCTCTACTTCATGGGAGATGATGATGGACAGCTGGAGAAGGTAAGCCATGACAAGACACAGAGAAAGAGGGTTAGAAGTGCAACATTGTCTTTAGAGTTCAATAGTGGTCTGATTTTTTTCAAGTCTGCTCTTAACCATATGCCTTATGAATTACTTTCACCTCATAAAAAGACACAAAAGTGGTGGACCATTAAGTGAGTGGGGCTCTGGATACTTCAAGACCTGAACATTTTGGCCAAAAGGAAGAAAGTAAGATTAGCTGTTTTATCAGTGGTCCTTTAAACTATTTGGTAAAACATTGGGGATCAATTTTTATGTCTTATGTTTTGAGCTTGAAGGCCCTCCAAGAATTAGAGAGAGAAAAAAAGAAAAAGGGAGCTCCTCTCCAAACTCATAGGTCCTACAGGTGTCCCATGGGTTTTGTTTGTTTGTTTGTTTTCTTTGTTTTTTTGCCCTCAGCACCTCACTTATCGCACTCCAGTCCTGGCCCTGCTCCCCATTCTCATGGAGACTAACATTCATATACATGTGAGCTCGCTCGCTCTCTCTCCCTCTCTCTCTCTCTCTCTCAACACATAGCTTCAAATAAAATACCAAAACAAATTATTTTCAGTTCAGGACCTGAGCCCAGCTGATCCTCCTTACTTCCAATCTCATATTTTTTCAGGGAGGTGGGGGAATGGCAACTCTTAACCTTCACCTAGTAATCAGCATAGACTAACTAAAGGACCCATCATCTGGTGAGAAGTATTTACTGAACACAAGTGATTCCGGAGTTTGTTTTTTGAAGCTCAAAAAGAAAGTACCTTTGTCATTTTTATCTATGTCATTAGAGGAGGGTCAAGGAAGAAAAGAAAGCCAGTCCTGGTTTTGTGGCAGGTTTTACTCTAATCCTAGCATCATGAGTAGAAAGGTGGGTTAGTGAAGCAGTTCACTTTATCCATCTGGGTCCCTTCTCCAAAAGCATCACATGACTCAAGCTATCTCTGCTCTCTCCATAGCTTCCTGAAGTTTCAGCTAAAGCAGCAGATAAGGGGTACAGTGTAGGAGATCTCCTTCAAGAGGTCATGAAGTTTGCCAAGGAACGACAACTGGATGAAGCCGTGGGCAACATGGCTAGAAAGCAATTGCTAGACTGGCTGCTTACTAACCTGTAAGCTAACACCACCTTTGACTCCTCTTCAGTTACTCCCCCACCCCTAGCAGCATTCCATCCCAGCTGGGCATCCTCTCCATTAGGCTGTTGAACAACATGCAACACGAATGTATTTCTCAATACATCTGAGCAGTTGGACTGTGTAATACAGGGTGTCCAATAAGCTGGGAAACAAAAGAATAAAAAAAAAAAACATTAAAAATGTGTCATCATTTTCTTGATCAGATATATCTGAGGCAAAAGAGGGGAATGGGTCCAATTCCAAGGAATGGTGATACAGTGTTGGACTTGTGTCCAGATATCTCTAACCCTGGGTTATTTTCTGAGCACCCAAGACACAGTGATATAACCCATGTCCAAGTCCCTAAGTAATCTGGTTTATTCAATTAGACTGAGTTCACAATCTATTTTGAGTTTGCCACCTGTGGACTCCCTGTTTCTGCATACATAACTTGATAATCTCCCTTCTAACCCCAAGGATTCATCTTTCTGGTCTCTATTAAAGAGTTTGAAGATGGGATAGTTTAGACAAAAGACAAACTGATATGTGTATTACCCATGGATATTGTTCCCCTGCCCTACCTTCAC